AAGCGTTAACTGTTATTTTCTCCACATATATTCATAAACTGTACCCCTTATTTCTCAATCTGTAACCCTCTACCTCGGGTGGCTCAAGTGATTTGTACAGGGTAAGAATTACTGTAAGGAAAACCTCTTCTCCCAACTATGGGTTAAATAACAGAATAGGACGTTAGATGTTGATGGATTTTTTTTTAACTTTCCAAAGCGTGTTAATGTTATAAAATATGGCGGCTTATTCGTATAATTAGTAGGTGGATTAAAATCTAATCAGTTAATTAATTATTAGAATTAATTAGTTTAAATAATTAATAGAAATTTAATTAGTAGATTAAAATTAAAGGTCGGCTTGGATTCAAAAATTAACTTCGGCTGAGAATATCGTATTGGAAACTATTTCCGGTGGGATTTAAAGAAAAAAAATCTCTTGCGATACAATTTCCGTTTGTAGAGTTTCTAAGCCGGTATGCATTATTTTCATTGTTTAATAATATAATTAAAAAATAATATCTACGTAAAAAATAGTTATTTCTATTAAACGATGTGTAGCCACAAATATAACTCCATAAATTCCAGATTTTAAAAAATCCATTAATTACCGCATTTCTTAAAAAGAGGAATATAACTCTGCTTTTTAGTGGAACTCTTCAGTGGCTGAGAAGCATACTCTCACGTCAGGCTATACAAGGGTTTCCCCTGCAAGTTTTTTTTAAGCATATCACCCCAAGTAAAACAGGAGTGCCACTAGCACCCAAGGGGTTACAGAGAGTGAGCAAGAGTAAAGAGGGGTGTTTGGGGAAAAGATAAAAGGAAGGACGAGGATCAGGATCAAGGTATCAGAAGATATCGATTCACATTACATTTGAATATTTAAAGATTATAGTTATCAAGGAAGCAAGTAAGCTGAAGGGAGTTCCACTGACAGGAAGTGCGAGATAAGAAGCTGCTGGAGTAGAAGAGACGGATACATTTAACCTTTTCAACGGTGAAATGGTGGGATCGATATGCCAACCTAGTAGAACGCTTAAATTCATGCAGTTTGGGTACCAATGAAAGTAGCTCGTCAGAGCAGTTTCCATGAAAGTACTTGTAGAAAAGTCAGAAGGAAGCCACATCACGTCTGTGAGAAAGTGACTGTAGACGAGATGCCAGGTCAGCACCTATCACATTGCATATCCGTCTCTGGATTTTGTCGAGGATCTCGTGATGAGCAGCGGGGGCAACAGACCATATATGGCAACACTATTCAATGCAAGGACGAATGGTTGAATGGTAGATTTGAAGGGTGAAATCAGGCGAGAAAAATCTTCTAGCGCGACACAGAGAACCAACTTTCCTTGCGTTTCGAACCCTGCCGGAATAAACAGGCCGGTCGATATACATTTACACTGTTGATAAACAGGGATGTCTACACAAAGACGGACACACGATAACAATAACATTTAAAGTAATATGAAATAATGTCCGATTATAAATTTAAAAAAAGTAGGAGCGTGTAGTTCAAATGTTACCATTTTAGAGTGATAAACTGGCGGGCCGAGTTCGAATTTGGATTGAATTTAGTTTGTTCACTTTCGCACAAATAGCTTTGGGAAAGGTATGAATCTATCTTTTATCACCTAGCTATGGATTAAATTGCAGAACAGACTGAGCTCTCTCGTCGTGCTTGGCAAACAGTTTGCAGAAGAGTAACTCTGAAATCCACACTGTCCATTGTGCCATGTGTCCTTGAGGACCTGAAGAAGGCCGGAGCGTATAACTACCGAAAAGTTGTGATAAATATGGCGACATAGATGAGGATGATAGTCCGAACAATGTAAATAGTGTCGTTATATTCACTTACGCGCAGATACTCTTGGGAAACGTATCAATCTATCTCTTGTCCTCCCAAGTATGGGTTAATTACGAGAACTTGTATCAGTAAATCATTATCTCCCCGCCCCCCAAAGTCTTGTAGACTAAGAATATTGTCTGGCTTTAAATAACCTGCTTTGATAATCCGTAAAATACAAATCAATCAATTCGTGTTGTTTCTTTCTCTTTTCATTTCTTTTTTTACTTTCGTTTTTTTTTATTCGTTACATCGTTTCCTTTTCCTTCATATCTTTATTTTAATCTATTTTTAATATGACTTTTGTAACTGCAATTTGTTATTACTCCTGCATAGTTCACCTTAAAGTCCACAGTCTTATGATGGCGATCTAATCTATTCAGCTAACAACTAATTTGGCAACCAATCACAAAAAAACTCTCTTCTTTGGTTTTTCCTGAGATTTTTTTCTTATTAACTGTAAATTTTCGTAAACTCTTGGGAAATATTGTATGTCGGTTTCCAGTTGCCTTCGCCTCAGTTTTGAATTCTTCACAGTCCTTCTGCCACCCAATGTTAGAGATTCAAATTTATCTTTCTTGTAGAATTGTCAATAACTACTGACGCTGGTGTTTGGGTGGGATACGTCATCGCTACGTGATGAGCCGCTTCGATTCCTATCTGAAAAACAGGCGCCATCTTTTAACTATGCAAGAAGTTCGCTCGTCATAATAAATGACAATGTGTGGGGTCTGTATCGATATATTTTTGCTTCTTGGGTTTTTTTTTTGTTTGTTTTTTCTCTCAGGGATATGTTTTCGAATACTCGTCAACAAGACAAGTGACAGTTCAAGGTGAGATTCTCTACAACAGCCGTCTTTTATTTAGAGACATCTATGTGTTACCAAATCAAAAACCTCACCAAAGAAAATTGGAAAGAGTGACGACTGGATTTACCTTGAAATCTCACCTTTTTGCTTCAGGTCAATGATAAGATTTTTGTTTTAATTTTTACCGTTATTTTGTTCATACGATTTATAACCGGCAGCTGGCTCTGTCAAACATTTACTTTATATTTCCAACAGCCTCTGGGACTGTTTGTTATGTGATTTTCTTTTTTCTTGTTATCTTTAAGCTCAGATTACACTACTCCATTGTACACCCGCGATGTCACATACTATTTAACCCATAGCTCAAAGGGGAATAGGTAAATTGATGCCTTTCGAAAGATGAAAAAGAACAGAATCGGTCAGAATTTAATTTCGGCTGGTCGATTCGGCTTTCCGCGCCGATAGCCGTTGCGTAATCCAAACATCCCTCATTATGTTAATCGGTAACAAGACTTCGCTTAGTGAGCTTAGTTACTGTGTAACCTATACAGCCGTCATCGCAATGCTCCTGTCCAATGTTAACGTCTTGAGCAGGATTACTTTAGGAAAATTATCGCATCACCAGTTTACGACATCAGTTTAGACAGCCCCGGTTTTCTAAACCTGAAATTACTGGATTTTCACAAAGGTAACAACGTCCTTGACATGGAAATTTCAGACCGTGAACGAGATTAAAGAGAACGTGAAAAGCCAGCTGATGGTGAACAAAACACTGGACTTTTTGAAAAGTCCAACGAAAGTTAGAAATACGTAAGTTCCCAACGAAAGTTTATTATTATTATTATTATTATTTAGTGATAGTTCCCTTAATAAAATACCCAAGAGCCACTAAAGGTAGAGGGCAAAGGAGGAGGAGAGTAAGGGATAATTATGCAGACGTTTAGTATAGATATCGGTTGATCCTGGACTAGAAAAGACCAAAGATTTTAGCTCACTGGGAAGCATTCGCTCGGGAGTTTGTTCCACAATGTTACAGTTTTTAGGGGGAAGAAGCTGTCTGAATGGAACTTGCTCTTTATCAAAGGAACACGAACGGAATGATGATGATTTGCCACCGTAGATTCGGCTGTGAATGTTCCGAGCTGGTGAAAGTAAGGAGTGCAAATCTTCCGAACATCTGCTATAATAATAGTGATATATTAGTGTAAGGTTGACGACGTTTCGTCTGTGGAGTAAGGGTTGCAAGATGGAGAATAATTCATCATCGCTTGTACTACGGAAACGATAAGCTTCCTTTTCGTTAAAAGTAAATGGCTGGATAATGTGAAGATTAAGTTATTATAGGCGTGAAAATATGCTGCTTAAATTTTATCACAACTGAAGGATATGATTTTTATATGTTAGCACCAATTTTCCCACTGCATTTTCTCTATGAGTCCAATACACACGCGAAGCCATACTAAGAAAATTTTAGTCAATAACGTACAAATAGTATATAGTTAGACAAACACCGTAAGGCATTCTTTGTGTCATGAAGCAACATTTCACGAACAAGGGTAGAAGCGTTATAGATTTTCTGAAAATACCCGTCGGGGCAAAATGGGTTAATTGGAATATTCTACAGTCAGTTCATATGTGAGTTGCGCACGAGGTATTTTAAATCGAGACGCTGCAAAGGAAGGAAGGAAGGAAGGAAAAAAGACAGAAAAGCCTGAAAGAAAGAATCGAAAGAAGAAAAAATAAAGAGAAAAAGAAAGAAAGGAGGAAAGGTAAGATACGATGAAAGATGAGAACTGTATGAAGAAACGATGAAAGAAAGGAACGAAGGAAAAATCCTGAAATAAAGAAACAAACAAAGGAGAGAAAAGTAAAGCAAGAAGGAAGGAAGGAAGGAAAACCATTAACAAGACGAAGAAAGAAAACGTAAAGAAAGAGAAAAAGAAGATGAGTAATAAGGAAGGAAGGAAGAAAGGACAAGAAGAAAGAAAGTAGAAAAGAAAGAAGGAAAAAGGCATGAGAGAAAGAAAGAAAGAAATAGAAAGGAAAGGAGGAAAGAAAAAAGAAGTAACGTAAAGCAGAAAAGGCACAATTAAAGCAAGGAACAAAGACGAAGAAAAAAACAGAAAAAATGAAGAAAACCAGAACGTAATGAAGAAAGTCTGAAGATAAGGAAGAAAGGAAGAAATGTGATGAAATAAACGAAGAAAAAATGACCAAAGGAAGGAAGGAAGGAAGGAAGGAAGGAAGGAAGGGTGGAAATTTGAAGGAAAAAGAAAGAAAGAATGAATACTGCAACAACAGAACTAAGAAAGAAAGAACATGGTACACAAAGAAGAAGTCAACGAAGGAAATAAAACAAGGAAATGAATCTAAAGAAGAAAGCAAGAAAGACGGGTTGAAAGAAATGAAAGAAGAAAAGAAAGAATGGATGAGCGAAGAAACGAAGGAAGGAAAAAAATAAAAGTAAAGAGGAAGAGAAAAAAAAAGATATGCAAGGAAGGAAATAAAAGAAAAGAAAGAAAGAAGGTAACTGAAGAAAATGAAAGGAAGGAGAAAAATACAAGAAAATAGGAAATAAAAAAATAGATAAAAGAAACTAACTTCTCTTGTGATATCTGTGAAATAGGTAGACATTTCTTTCGTTTCTTCTTTGTCCCCGGAGAAGTTAATTTCAGATACGAAGGCTCAAGTGGCTCTTTGTTGAAGAGGTTAAAGATAAAGGTCGACATAATAATAATAAAAAAAAAACGAACAATAAACGATAGTGAAGACGTATTAAAGAAAAAGGATGGAACAAAAGAAATTCACTTCATTAATAAAGATAAGAACACAATTGACAAAAGAGATACTCACATAGATATGTTGTACTTTCTTTATCAATATGCAAATAATTACAAAAATGGCGATTATCACAGTTCGGTTGAATATAGTTATAGAGAAAATGTCTATAAATAAGAACTAAGTGTAAGCTGAATGTATAAGTTTAATATACGTACCTAACGACACAGACACAGACTCGCTTACACAAAGATACCAACCAAGTTCTTTTTCTTGGACTGGGTGCAGACAATTTCATCAAACATCCGAGTTCCCAACTCTAATGTGTTTGTGTCTTATACGGCATTTTACTACTGTATACTCCATGCGCCAGACTCAGTTCAATATTTATTGAGTATTTTAGATGTAACCGCCATGATGAGCAAGTTCAAGCGGAACTTGTATATACTATGCATTGCTAAACGGTCGTTTTTTGTTTTTTTTTGTACCACTCCAGAAAGTATCTGACACCTTCTACCACGCTGTATCTTTACAAGACTCAAACCAGATCAGAGTTTTTTTATTATAACAAAATCCGAAGTACTTATAAGTAATGCCTCGGCAACTTACCGTAATGCCTGTATTATTTGTCTAAAGACTGACTCCAAACGGTTTCTTTTGGTATTTATAAAACCTCCTCAAAAGGCAGGAGGTGGCACAAGGCTATTTTGTACGTGGAGCGATTCCGAACTCGGGCAAAAATTAGCCGTAGACCCCGCATACACGGGGTCGGGTTTGTCTAACTTCCCAGACAAGACTCTGTAGGCATAGTCTCGTCTGGGTTCCTCTCTGCCCTCGGATAGTGAGTTCAAGTCAGCCAAACGTCTTCTTTTTCCTCCAGCTAACCTGGACCTCTTTATTTATTGTTATGGATTAGTTAATATAATCATTTCGTACTATTTACTCCATAATATTCCACACCTTTTGAGATTAATACTTTTTATAAATATTTTACTTTTTTCTTAGTATTAGTATTCCCGCCTCTTCTTGGCTGATCTGGAGTGGCACTTGGATGTCGGTTAGGTACAGGATTTTGTCTTATCAGGGCAACCCGCCCCGATATTAGGCTAGTTTAGGTTTTAATCTGAATCTTTAGTTTCCCGTTTCTGTCTAACTTAGCTAGGGTATGCATGCTCATCGGCCCCTTTTATATCTGTCCCTATTTTTCTTTTGTTTAATTCCCCATCCCACCCCTCGTTAGGTGGTCAGTGATGTCAGTTCTCTGGTTGTTGCGGGATGACTTTCGTTTCGTGTGTACGTTTTCGTATTTATTATTGTGTCTAAATGAGTGCGTGTTTGTGGGTGTGCTTGGTTTTTTATAATGTTATAATCCCGCAATTATTTCGTCCAATGTTTCTGACACATTTAGAGATTGTGGTTTTTTTATTATTAACCCTATTGTTTTGTTTTATGTAATTATTATTAAATCATATTGTAAATAATCATTGGGATTTTTTAAATTGTTGTTCCCCACCCCCACAGACTTTGAATTGTACATATGGGGACTAGTTAGGATTGCATAGAGAAATCGAGGTATTATGGTGGACGCAGTAAGAAAGGTAGGAGTGAATGTGTTGTTTTGGAGTTAGGACTATTGTTGGTATGTTTGGGTTCGTGTCTGTGACTAGCTAAGTTTAGAATTAAGACAGAAGAAAACCGTCCTTCTCCAACCCCCTTTTTTTGGCTTTGTGCCACATTTTGTACCAACGTACGAATAAACTATTCCCGCCTCCTCTTTCTGGAGACTTCGCCAACGTACTTGACTTTCTAGCGTTTCCGTTTCGGATCCACTTCCACTTCTTCAGTACGCTTTCTTTTTCTAGAACTTGTCCTTGTAGGTTCCACGAATGTTGTGGTGCTGATACATCGAAAACGTCATATAGCATTTTTATCGGTTTTTCCGATGTTTCAGGTCTTTCAATGATGAACCATTTTTTCAGCTGATTATAGTGCCTTTTATGTTCAAATCTTTTACCATCTAAATCAACTTCCCGATTCTTGCTGATATTATGCCGTCTTCCTACGTTTCTTTACCATCCTTATATGCTCTAAAGAACACTTTATCACTGACCTTGAAATTTTAGCGTCGTTTTTGTTATTCGTTCGTATTTTGCGACTTGGTAATAAATTGTCGAACACCGATTTTATTTTTTTAGCAAACATTAATTCCGCCGGCGACATGCCCAATGGGCTAAATGTTACACGGTAATCTTCCCGAAAATTTTGAAGTGTTTCTTCATTTATTTCTCAAGATTTGCTTTCTTCAACGCTCTTTCGAACGTTCCTTCAAACCGTTCTACTTGTCCGTTCGACCTTGGGTGATACGGCGGGGTGATAATATGTTCAGGGGAGAATACCTTACAAAAGTTTTTCGATTTCTTTCCGTTAACAAAAACTATGGAATTTGGTATGCCATATCTCGCAAACAATTCATGCAAGAAATTCACTGTCACTGAAGATTTTGGATTTTTGTCATATAGGACATAAATGAATGGAATCGTTCGTTTATGCAAATAAGCTGAGTTGCGAAGAGTTGGCATTAGGTATGAGCTGCGCTCTAAACTCTTAGTGCTTGTCGAACTCTCTGACTTACCTACGAGATTGACTTCCTTATTTATTTATTTATGTTATCTCGAAAACACGAGATTTTTTTTTTTACTTATAAATTTCCGGTAGCCATTTAGTGACACTATCAACTACCACAAAACAATGTATTTATAGGACCTGCAAAATCTATATGTAGTCTTGACCAAGATGTGTCTGTCTTTGATTAAGGTTCTATCTTCGTGATAGGTAGTTTTGCTGCCATAGCACAACCTCTGCTGTTTTCACTAGTTTCCCAATATCATGGTCCATTCTGGTCCAATATACGAAACTTCTGATCAGAGATTTTATTCTTGAAATACCAGGAGTCTGCTATGAGAATCCTTCAATATTCGCTTCAGTAAAACATTAGGTATTGCAACCATTTGCCCGAACATTAATACACCGTTGCATTAAAATCAAGTAGAGCGTTTAAGTTTGGATTTCGTTCTTTGCTAGTTTCTTTCAATTGATTTTTTTTAAATTTTCGCAACAAAGACACCGTTTTTCAATTTTTTTTTTCCTTTTATTTCTTCCAGCGTAACTAGTACCTCTCATATTACTGTGTACAAAATGTTTTTTTTTATTTTATTTCCATTTTAATTTCTAGTGCTGCAATGGCCTTGTCCTAAAATTGTTCCTTATTTTAGGTATTAATCTTGATAATCCACCCGGAAGTCCTAATTTTTAGACGGTTCGTGTTCCATTGTAAAATCACAGTTTAACAAGATGTTACCCCAGCGTTTTAGTCTATTAGCTGTATGCATAAGTATTCCATTTTTTAAAACATATATTGTCTATGGTCTGTTTGCAATCTAAAATTTCTTTAACGAACAAATTTATGAAATAGCTTCACAGCAAATATAATTACTAGAGGTTCTTTTTTCTAATTGGCTGTAATTTTTCTCTGCTAGTAGAAAGGATCGTATTTGTTGCTCAAATGCCGTACACAGTAAACTGTTTAGTAGCATCGTGATTTCCCACCTGAAGAAACGTTACTATTAACTTTGAAACAACATGTACAGTTTTGTAGTGTGTATGTACATGTTTTAATGTAACGCTTCATAATAAATTAATATTTATTGCTCTATTTTTGTATTGAGCCCTGTTTTAAATTAATGTTTTGAATGCGGAAATTTTACACTTCATTCTTTTACATTTGATATATATATATATATATATATATATATATATATATATATATATTTATTTATATATATGTATATAGTTATTTATTTATTTATATATGTATTTATTTATATATATATATATATATCCCTCCCCCCTCTCTCTCTCTATATATATATATATATTTTGGACACATATATATATATGTGTGTGCGTGTGTATGTAATTATTCTCAGGTTGAGTGTATCTGTAGAAGAGACAAAATAAATAAAAAGAGATAAGATGAAAAACTATACTTAGCTGACGCGTTTTCGTCCTCTGGGGATCTTTATCAAGACATTAACTGTCTTGAGAATGTCCCTCAGAGAACGAAATGCCTAGACAAATTATAGTTTTTCCTCTTGTTTGTTTTTATTCACACACACACACACACATAGATATAGATTGATAGATAGATAGATGGGGAGAGAGAGATAAACATATATATATATATATATATAACACACACACATATATATATCATATTACTGTTAACTTTATGTTTGTGGATACAGGATTTTGAGCAGACGACCTTTTTTTTAAATAATTTTATGCAGTATCAAGTACGTCTACCGGCATACTCATTGAATAGACCTTATACACAATATTGCAAATAAACAAAAATAAAACATAGCGTTTCCTCAAACACGAGTGTCAACAAAAATAACGTTTAAAGCCATAAAATGTATATATATATATATATATATATATATATATATATCTTGTATTGAGGCAACAAATTCTTTTTTAGGCATGTCTGACTGAATAAATTACAAAAATTATGCCTGCTTATTTACATTATATTCTTTTCGTATTCACGAATATTTTTCCGTATATTACATTGAAATAACGCAAGAAATGCACTGTCGCTGTGAGAAGCACTTTTATTTCCCAAGTAATTTCCATCTCTTTCTGATATAAACATCAAGGATACAACTGGTAAAGAAAACTAATAGACTAATA